TACATGTGTGCTGTAAGTGATGAGTTCATCCACCTTCAGGGAATTTTACATCTAAAAACTGCAGATCAGTTAGCATGTGCACAGATTTCAAATTGTTGATTACATCCCTGTTTTACAATCTCTGAGTATTTTGCTTTTCTGCTGTTCCCTTTGGTTTCATACCCAATATGAGCAGAGGTTTTCTCTTTGCTCTCTCTCTGCCTTTCAGACTTGCTTCCTCTTTTTTCCCCATGTTCTTTTGCTGCCTCTTCCACATTTGCTGTCAGTTTGCTCAAAAGCTGCCTTATGTCCTTCACTACTTCTTGTAGTTTGCAGCTTATACCCCTGGTTTGCCTGAACCATATTTACTTGTATGTTCCAGGTAACCTATTCCAGTGGCAGTAAATGTTTCAGTTGTTCCTCTGCAGCAGAGAGAGACAAGTGGATGGAAAACCTACGCAGGACAGTGCAGCCTAATAAGGTAAAAGGAGCAGCAGGAATATTACCGCCAGTAAAATGTGGTGGGACTGACTTTCCCCAATGACATATGAAACTTTCCTGGAGATACAGACCCATTTAATTAGATTGGTCCTACTAATGTGCTATCTGAGGAGTGAACCACCCATGAACATAGCAAAAGCCACCATGCACCACTTTTACATAACAGTTAGTAGGTTAAACATTTAGTAAGCAGTCTCCTTTCATCTTGGCTCCTGATTCTCATCTCAAAATCTAGCAAGACCAATCAAGGAACTTTCATTGTGAGCTTTACTGAGAAGGTACCTAATTGCTGTTTTTGGTTTAGGCTTCTTATAGTACAAAGAAATGGAGCTCCGTGTTTCAATAGAGGGGCCAGTATTGGCAACAGAATGATTTCTATGTTGTGTGTTCCTTGAAAGAAAAAAAGGTCCTGAGTTACTAAAAATTTACTAAAAAATCACTTTTTTTATCAGTTTGCTAGATTGGTGGTGTTTATTAACCATAGTATTGCAGTAATTCACAGAGGAAGTGATACTGTTCGATACAGGGGTGACTGGTGCCTCCTGAGTCTGGGGGGGGCACAATTTGTGGGTGGGCCTGGGGATGGGCCAAAAACCCCATATCCACTCCTATACTTGTGCCATGGCTTAGTGCTCCCCCCCCCATTCGCTGTCGGCCCATGCAGCAAAAAAACTGGCCTACTTTTGGGGGCCAAGGGGGGGGGGGGGGGGGGATGTGCCCCCCCTACCAATTGCTTGTGGTCTTAACACAAGGAGATTTGAGGAATTTACCTCTGAATGGTTGAACTGCAGGGCAAATTTGTTTTTCTAAATCATTTAAAAAATGGCCTCTCAAAGATGATCAAGTAGGGAGCTATAAAGTACAGCCCCATGTTCCCGGCTTCAAAAGGAAAATGTTCTATTCCTTAGGCTGTCATATCTAAATCAAAATTGATCTCTTTGTTCTGCTCAGGACAACTGTCGTCGAGCTGAGAATGTGCTCCGCCTCTGGATCATTGAGGCAAAGGACTTGGCCCCCAAGAAGAAATATTTTTGTGAGCTGTGCCTTGATGATACACTGTTTGCCCGCACCACCAGCAAAACAAAAGCGGACAACATCTTCTGGGGTGAGCACTTTGAGTTCTACAGTCTCCCACCTCTCCACAGCATCACGGTGCACATCTATAAGGATGTGGAAAAGAAGAAGAAAAAAGACAAGAATAATTATGTAGGCCTGGTCAACATCCCCATGGTCAGTGTGACTGGGCGTCAGTTTGTGGAAAAGTGGTATCCAGTCAGCACACCTACCCCCAATAAAGGGAAATCTGGGGGGCCTTCAATTCGGATCAAGTCTCGATACCAAACCATCACCATCCTGCCTATGGAGCAGTACAAGGAGTTTGCAGAGTTTGTCACCAATAATTACACCATGTTGTGCTCTGTTCTGGAGCCGGTGATCAGCGTGAGGAACAAGGAGGAGATGGCCTGTGCTTTGGTGCACATTCTTCAAAGCACTGGGAGAGCCAAGGTAAGTAGCCAGATACAGTGTCTCCATGGGGCTTTTGATAAATGGTCTCTTGCGGATTACTGTAGACTAAGAAAGCAGCATTTGCATCATCTTAAATACAGATAAAGATGGAGATAACTCAAGGATGTACTGGTCCAGGGAATGGGAGTTAAAGGAGGAATGCTACGAAAGAGGAAGTGAAGCTAAGAAAAAAAGTGGGTACTTTCAAAGGAACTTAGGCAAATTTTCTAGAAAAGGAAGACAATTTTAGATATGCTATACCTACTGAAGGTTTGTAAGCGTGAATGTATTCCAAGGAGTAAACATAGACATTTTAGAGGAAATAAATATTACAGGGTACAAAGCATTAGGCTTATAAACCTTTCTAGCTTTGCAGAAGGTTAAGTGCACAAGAACTGTTGCTACATTTCTGCAAACATGAGGCACCATGACTGGTGTAGTACCAAGGAGCTTGTGAATAAAGTTTTGTAAGCGTGTGTTAAAAACTATAAACAACAAGGTTTTATCTTCTAGGGCTGTGCAAAACGGGCCCTATTTGATTTGGATTTGGCCTGAATCGGGGACAGTGATTCTGTGAATCAGGGATTCAGACCCAGGCACAGCTTTAAAAGTTTTTTTCTACATACCTTCTGGTAGCAGCATGGCTTGTGATTGCTGCGATGTTGGGGCAGTTGGAGCGTCCCACAGCAGCATGGGGGGCTCTCCAGCGTGCTCGGCAGTGAACCTGAAAGCGAACTGAAAGTACTTCCAGTCCACTTCCAGGTCTGCCGGGGAGCACGCTGGGGGACCCCAGGTGCCCCCCCAGACCCAGAAGGCACCAGTTGCTGAGCCGAGGGGCACGGGGTGGGGGGGGTCAGTGCGCTCTCCAGTGGACCCGGAAATGCTTCTGGTCCACTTCTGGGTCTGCTGCCGAGCATGCTGCCCCCCCCCTGTGCTTCTGTGGGATGCTCCATGCACCCCAGCATCACAGTGATCACAAGCCCCTGCTACCTAGAAGTATATGGAAAATACATTTAAAGCTGTCTCTATGTCCGAATCTCTCCAAATTGATTCAGAGGGTTCCAAATCAATTTGGAGAGATGAAAGGGTCCTTTGATTCGATTTGGATTCAGAGATTCGGCCGCTGAATTGGGCAGAATCTCCAGTGAATCGAATCAGGGACCGAAGCTTTGCACAGCCCTAACATCTTCACTGTAGAGTTAAATTGAGTGACTGGCAGCTACGTTAGCCTAGCTTGAGTGGGAGCCACTGCTCCAGAAAGCCATGTTCAAGTTAGCATCCCCTCACTGGTGCAAGGACATCTGGGAGCATCTTCTTTAGTTTTCTGTGCTTTAATAAGCTGAGCTGTTTTGATTCTTTCCCAGTGAATTATGAGCGAACCTAGGCATGGAGGCAATTAGTGTGGGATGGCATAGAAGGACTTTTGATACTTGAGTGGTTTATCATTTATCCTTGCTACAGAATGGTGTGCTTATCAGCAAGAGAGAACCTCGTACCATGGTCTCGATTATGCCCTCCAGGCAGGTTGAACCCAGGCAAGCTTGGCTGAGAGAGTTCTGTGTGGAAGGTGGTTAGGTATCCCCTAGATGACAGCAAGAATGAATGTTACATATGTTTAAATAATCGTGCCAGTCTGTTTGCCATACTCCACTTCACACTACTCTCTCTAGCCTTTTGGATGGAGTGTGAGGAGAATGAACACCATACCAAGCACTTGTCTGGTCTAGAGCAGATGACAGCTAGGATAGCTCCTGTAGTGCTGCTCTGATCACTGCAAGGGAGCCTCCAAACTCCTTCCAAGCCAGCTACAGCAGACAGACAAATTTAGCACTGTACCTCTCTACCTCCCTCATGCCTGTCTTGGGTGTCTTAATTGGCAAAGCTTTACAATAAGGATGATATAACTTATCCCTCCCAAGAGAACAGGATTTGTGGTCATGCATTTACTGTTTTGTTGTTACACTTGAATCTGGCTAGTCAAACTGATTTGGGAAAGCTATTGCCATCTTTTCTATAAAGAGAAAATAGTATGTGAATAAAAACAAAGCATAGATAATGCAAAACAAAACATCTTGTTTTATGAATTCTGATAATTGTAGCTACGTATTTGGGACTTGAACTATGCTGGTAATGTACTGAGGTATGTCCTGTAAAATAATGGTATTTTAAGGATATCAGATTTTGCTGTAGCACTTTTCTATAATTGTGGGGAGATCTGCACAAAAAAAATGTGGCAAATTAGCAAGTTTCTGCTGCATTATTCATTGAGCACTGACAAGAAGTTCAGGGATGTAGAATAACAACAAATTTTTGTCCCTGCCCCAAAAAGATTTCCAGTATTTGGGTCCAATCCTGCAAGGTATTAACTACTTCCTGTGAAATCTGTCTCCCCAGTTTCCACTGAAATCAACAGCTGAAGAAGTTGATAACAATTGCATAAGGGGGCTCTTTATTAGCAGTTGTTAAGACTCAGTCCCCATTCTGTGGTTTCATTCCTTATACCAGGGGTGGGTAGAGCCTGGCCCATGGCTGGATTTGGCTGACAGTGAACTCCTTTTCCCAGCATCCCCTGCCTTGCATGGCTGGGGTTGGTTTTCATAGTGACCCCAGCAGTAGACACACTATGATAGCACCAGGCCCAGGTTTCTGTGAAGATTGGCCCCAGCAGTACTGGCAGGCCATGTGGCAGGGTGAGATGCTGCTCCAGGGCCAGGCCAGGATCTTGCAGTGGTGAGAACGTGGTCCAAAGCCAGGGCAGAGCTGCAATCTGCCGCCTGCATGCTCTGAGCAGAGGCATCCAGGCAGCGAATCACGGCTCTGCCCTGGCTCCTGACCATGCTGTCACTGCTGCAAGGAGCCGGGGCAGAGCCACGATCTGCTGTCTGCACACCCCTGCCCGGAGCATGCAGGCTGCAGATTGCAGTTCTGCCCTGGCTTGACCACACTCACTGCTGCAAGATACCAGCCTGGCCCTGGAGCAGCTCCCCACCCTGCTGCGCACCCTGCCAGCAGTGCTGGGGCCGGTTTCCATGAAAGCCCTGGCCCTACACTATCACAGCATGGTGGCTGCTGCTGGGGTCTCCATGGAAACTGGACCCAGCCACATGGGCAGGGGCTACTGGGAAATGAAATCTGGCCACCAGCTGAATCTGCCAGTTTGCCCACCCCTGCCTTAGACTGAGCACATGAATGTTGTTCAACACCATGCCAGATCAATGCACAATAGGAATGCTGTTTCTCCAATTCCTACCTTTAATTTGCTCCTGCTTTTCACCATTGAAAATCCATCTCTCTTAGTTAAATTTGCCCACTTAATAGAAAATTTGAATATCCTTTCCTCTTTGTTTGTGTGGGTTCAAGTCCAGTTCCTATCTGGAACATATATCATTAAAATATAACTATAAGATGTCCACTGTCAGACATGAAGCATAGACTGCCAGAATCTGACCCAACCAAATGTTAAAAAATCTTGGTTACAAGGACTTTTCATTCAAGATTTGTTTCTCCTATTCTAATTTTATCCCATAATCCCTAGCTGCTGTTTCCCTTTTCCAGTGGAGTCCAAAAAAATGAGATGGGGACCTTTGCTGTCCTAGACAATCTAATGCACAGACACAAGAGGTTCTCTAGCTAATCCATATGGCCCACATGGCTATAGTATTATCATGCCTGTCCTCCCAGGCAGGCACATTTCAGTAATCTTTTCATTCCTAAATCTGGAGTACAGGATTTTTAACCCTTCCTATCTGTCATGATTTTCCTGTTTTTAAAACCATGCTATGCTGTTTTTTGGTTTAAATGTCTTCTTTCTGCTTGACTTTTTCCCTGCAGGACTTTTTGACAGACCTGGTGATGTCAGAGGTAGATCGTTGTGGGGAACATGACGTCTTGATCTTCAGGGAGAACACACTTGCTACCAAAGCCATTGAAGAATACTTAAAACTAGTAGGCCAGAAATATCTTCATGATGCACTAGGTAAGAAAGTATCAAGCACCTTATTTTCTTCATGTCTCAGAAGCTAATAGACAAATACTGCACCAGCAGGCAGTCAAGTAATTGGTGTGACTCTGGGTATGTCTCTGGGGCCATAAATGGAGCATCTGTTTCATTATAAGAAGCGTTGGTCTTTTGCTGTAGTTCCCCCATTTTGCGGGATCCATGGCCCTATTTTACATAGCAGATCCACTGTCAACACCCATACAGAGGCAAATATGGAATCTTCCCCAGGAGGATTTGTAGCCTACAAGAAAAGAAACTCCTTTGTGTGGACTCCTGAAATCCTACTCCCACACTATATGCACTAGAACCTAATTGGTTCTACCATCTCTTGATGACATAGAAGGTCCCTTTTGGTTTTTGTTTCAAGTCCAGCTCCCTTCAATTGCAGTAACCATATCTATGTATGCAGCTCCCAGGCAATTTAAATGCAGTTCCTGAGGAAAAGGGAAATAGAGAAAGTGTGAAGAATGCCTGTTTTTTATTTATCTGTTTGTTTTGTTATTTTCCGATTTTCATTTTCTGCAGTTTTTACTCAAATGACTTCTTAGAATAAATAATGATGGCAAATTATCACTTGAGCTGGGACACTCTTCACAGATCATTGACTCTGGGGCCTGCACATCTCAGAAGTTTTGTGTACTGCTGCTCTTGGCTGTGTTGATTTTGGTTTGCAGATAGGAGACTTAGGAAGTTTGGCCACATGTCATAGGCCCTTTTTGCCCATGGAAAGCATAAATAAGGTTTTTTTCCTAAGGGATCTGCAACATTTGAAAAGGAAATGCTTACTGCAGACAGCTGAGAGGGATTCTCAGTCCTCCATGCTCTGCATTTTTTAGGTATCCTGTTTCTCTCTATTTCTATTGTTGATTTAAATGTCATATTTTCATTATGATTCATTGATAGCCATGAATCATTCAGTCTGGTGTATGAATAGAGATAAAAAAGGATTCTGCTAATCTAACCACCTGGGAAGATGCTGACAGTTTACTACTATGCCTCTTGATACTGGTGGTGAATCCCAGTACTGTGCACAATCCCAGGTGTGTAAGCTGAAACTACAAGAAAGGATCAGAAACACAACATTTAGGTCTTCATAGCCCCTTTGAGGGATGGAAAGAAGGAGATGGTATTTTGATGATGTTCCCTAGAACAGAGCAACCCAAACTCCTACCTGAAAGCTTTTATGTACCCAGGGGCATCAAGCACAAGGCAGGGTTAATTATCTGTAGGATTTTATTGCTGGGCACCTGTTGCTAGCACCTCCAAATGAGCTGCTCCTATTTACTGATCAAAGAAGATAAAGCCCAAGCTAGCATTTACAACTGTGTGTATGCGTTACATTACAAGGAAGATTTGTCACTTTGCATCTTATTAGGTACAGCCATTGCACTCCTGGAAGATCTCCAGTGTGATCTTCTAAGTTATAAACTTTGGGCATGGGCCCTGCTTTACAGCAGTTAATTTGTGGATACCCACATTAACCTTGTAGAATTGTACCAGGTCCAAATACAAATAGCTAGCATTGCATGCAGACAGCTAGAGTGAACAAAGCAGTGAGGCTAGTGAGCATTATGCACCATGAGTGCACAGTACAACTTATATTGGTAGCCCCATAAAAAGGCCTGCCTTTAGTGTTCTTTACTAATGGAAAGGAATATGATGAATTCTTATCAGATCCCTTGTCTGATCCTGCATGCCCAACTCTTTTGTGCTCAGCTCTCAACTTCCTGCTTCAGTAACCTCTCCCTTTCCAGCAGAGCCAGCAGTTTCATGCTGCCTGTCTAGCTACTAGCTTACTTGCCTAGAAGTGCTGCCAGCCCTTTACTAGTCCCTCCCTAGCTTCAGGCTTCACTCTTGGTATAAACCACTGCCAGATTAGTTAATTATAGTCCCAACAGCTTCTATCCCATCTGTGAGGACTAGAACCACACCCCTTTCCAAATAAACTGACAGTTTCCTTACAAGTCACTGCCAGCTGCAGGCTGGGTCCTCTCTTGCCCAAACTCCCTATATCAGGGGCAAGCAATTATTTTGAGCAGAGAGCTGCTTACTGAGTTTTGGCAAGCCATCGAGGGCCGCATGACAGGCAGCCCAGGGCAGATAAATATTAATTTTCTCAATTTTTTAGGGGCCCCGCAGGTCAGATAGAATGACCTGGCAGGCTGCATTTTGCCCACCCCTGCCCTATATGAACCACCTATCTGCTGCCATTTCTTGGCCTAGGGAGGGTATCAAACCTGGTGCAGAAGTCGAGACTGATTTCTCCATAGAGACCCAGCTCTCTCTTCCAGTACAGTATCAGTGGTTCTGGAAATGCATCAGTTATCGAGTGCTTAGGCACATGATTAGATTCACTAGTGTTCTGTGGGCTAATGTAATCAAATTTTGATTACATCTTGGGTATATTTCTTACATGTTAAAAATAATGAGCCTGGTTCTGACAACTTCCCGCTGGTTGAATAGAACCAAAAGGCACCGTCCAGCACAAGTAGGAGTAATGGAATCAATCTCTGAATGTGGAAATGAACAGCATATTACTTCATGTCTTGTTTTCCAGCATATTCAATTATCTTTTGGTCCAGTCTATTACATTTTACTGTAAGCCCTTTAATGTGCAGTAATTACATAAAGATATTTTTAAATTAATGACTTTTAATATATCATTTAAGACCTCAGTGCTGAATGATAAGATTATAAATCAGAGAAGTTAGAGATGGAAAAGACTTGTTAGGTCATCCAGTCTGTCTCCAGCCCAGGGCAAGGTTGCTCTTGTTGGCATGTTCTTCTAGAGCTTTGTCTGATCAAAGTTTTCAGTTCCGTTCAGTTACATTCTATATTCATTGCATCAGTTCAGTTAACCTCATTGAATTTAATGTTAGATATTAAGTGTAGCTACAAGGATTTTTTCAATACATGATTAAGACCCGACTGCATGCACTGCTGAGAGCACTATTGCAGACACAATTGGCTTACCCACAAGTGGTGCTGAGAACAAAGAAAATACCAATTTAGAGATTGTATATGTTTCTTTCATATATAATATTTCCACCATTAAAAACATCTTTGGCTTGAGCTGCAGTACTAATTGTTGTATCTTATTGTTTTATTCCATGCTATTGAAATTTCCCTTTTCCTTTAATGGGCTATCTTCAGCAGCTGGGGTCAAAGTTCACTGTTGAGCAGAATTTATTACAGTTACATGGCAAAACCTTTTATTTTCACCCATAACTCAGCCACCAGCATCAGCAAAAGTTTCTAAACTGACCTAGTTTTTCATGTATAAGAGGCAAGGTTTTTTGTGGGTGATATCTTTTATTAGGCCAACAGCGTGGTTGGGATAGACTTAGAGAAGCTTTTAGTTACCACAGTGAGACCCGAGGAAGGGCCTTATGTTACCCAAAAGCTTGTCTAAGTCTATCCCAACCATGTAGTTGGTCCAGTAAAAGATATCACCTGCAAAAATTCTTGCCTCTTAATTTTTCATGCAACTGTGAATGAACATTTATTCAGGATAACCAAACATGAAAAGCAAAAACTAATTGGTGGCTAAGGAGTTTAAGAAAATGTATCACTTCTGCTGTTTGCAGAAATGTTAGTGTTTTTATGGATAAGCACTGTGGTATGAGCTTGGAAGCAGGAAGATCTGAGGAAATGAAATTAGGAGTTTTTGAATCACTGAAAGGATGAATGGAGATCTTAGCCCATTAAGTAGCAACAGTATAAAAGAGCACCTGATATGCTAAGAGTATAGGAGAGAATGGAAAATACAGTTACATCACAATTTATCACCAGTGAAAATTCCAGTAGCCAAGAGCTGGAGTCCAGTGTCCCATTAGACAGAAACTTTAAAGTTCTAAAAATAGGTAGCTGAGATTTTGCAAGATGCCAGCATGATGAAATTGTAAAGACTAGGATTATTTCACCTGGGTTGAATTATTCATGATTGTAAAGGGCAAAGTATAAATGAAGCCATTCCTTTTAGTCTTGTCTCACAATACAAGAATGAGGTGACACTCCTGAAATTAAAGGACAGTAAACTTGGAACTAATAAAAATAAGTCATAGTGTCAGATTTATTGTTAGACAAGGTCATAGAGAAAAATAACATGGCTTCATTTTTAAGAGGATGGATAATTTTGTGATCACTAATAACATTTGTATGTATGCAAACAGAGATAAGAGTAATGAAATCTCATTCTTCAGGCTCCCAGGTGATTGCCTGTGTGGACCAGAAAGCAGATCCTCCTCTGTTCCTACCCCATGTATGATGTTCCATAGCTGGGCCAGATCTTGACAAGAGCACCAGAGGCCTGATCTGGTCTGGCAAATGCTGGCTTCTAAAGCAGTTACAAGGGGTCATGTCCTCAGTATCTGGTGTCTGGAGACTATATCCCTGCAGATGCTCAGAGCAGAAAATGCAGTTGCCAAGGGAAGGCATAAGCAGGATTTGAAAATACATCAGGGAGACATTTCTTATAATTATTGCTGTTTGTCACCTTTTCTTCTTACAGGAGAGTTTATCAAGGCTTTGTATGAGTCAGATGAGAACTGTGAAGTTGATCCCAGCAAGTGTTCTTCAAGTGAATTAACTGATCATCAGAGCAACCTGAAAATGTGCTGTGAGCTAGCCTTCTGCAAGATTATCAACTCTTACTGGTGAATGCCCATTTTTGTCTCAGCTGTTAATTGATTTCTTCACTTAGGAAAGGCAAAAAGTACATCCCTTTCACCTCAAAAATGGGAAAACAGTGGGGAGAACTGGAACAAACACACATCCATGTTTTACAGTAGCTTAGTTTCCTGTTGCTCATCACTTGTGACACAGTATTGCAAGGCAGACTTCATCCCAATCCAGAGGGATCCTGCCAATGTGCCCAATCCTATATATTGTACCATACTCAAATGTTTCCTGGAATATTTACTATGGCAAGGGCAGAGATTGAATGGTTTTTTTGTTTTTACCAGCTTCTGCTTCTGAGTAGATTGAAATAATAGCTTTTCTGTTTCAGGCCACAGGAAATGCAGATAAATTCAGCATATAAGATATTAAGTCTAAGTACAGAAATGAGCAAAATTCAATATGGTTCTGAATTTTTTACAAAAATGGCACTTTGTATGGAGGTCATTGGCTGTCTTTCTCTTCTTTCCAGGTTTGATAATAATCAAACTTACCATTTATTTAGATTAGGAATGGATGAATAGTTCAGACCTGTGAATCCAAGTTTGATTTTTGTGCCTTTGAACAGGGGGCACTTAACTACTTCAGTTTCCCAAGTGAAAAGACTATTCAGGAGTTAAGTCTAGATACCTGATGGCATTTGCTAGTCTGGAGTATGAAACTTTTTCTCACATCATTGAATTCCTTGTGCCTGACCACCAGTTTAGCCTGTTAAATTTTACATCCTTACCATTTTATTTCTTTATTTAATTTGTTGCAGTGTTTTTCCTCGTGAGCTGAAGGAGGTGTTTGCATCATGGAAGCAGCAATGCTTGAGCCGGGGCAAGCAGGATATCAGCGAACGCCTGATCAGTGCCTCGCTCTTCCTCCGTTTCCTGTGCCCAGCTATCATGTCCCCAAGCCTCTTCAGTCTCATGCAGGAATACCCTGATGACCGCACATCCCGAACACTGACACTCATTGCTAAAGTCATTCAGAACCTCGCCAATTTTGCTAAGTAGGTGTTTTAGGTCTTTGGCCTAAATCAACGACCATAAAAACTCTTTGAGGGTGCCAGTATCACTGTATGCAACTGTCGCATTTGCTTAAAGCTGAATCCTAGGAGAGTTGGCAAAACAAACTTCAGGAAGAGTGGGGAAAGAGGAGGTGCTTTTCTACCCATGCAGAGTCCTTCTCTGTATAATTTAAGACAGACAGTGTTCAGGGTTTTGTGATATGTGTGCTGTTGGCCCAATTCTGCTTTCAGTGGAACGATGCTGACATGGGATTACTGTAACAAAGAATAGAATTATGTATTTGTATAACCACTTATACACTTTCATTTTTATTTCATCTCACTATTACACAAGTAATAAGTTACCCTAAAATGGTGAACCTTTTTTTTTTCTTTTTAACTGGAGAAACTGGGGAAAGAAAATTATGCAAAAGTCATGCTTCTGGAGGCTCCAAAAGGAGGTTTGCATGTGGGTTTTGAGCCCATTGCCCTGTAGCATGAAGACAAGTGTTAAAACCAAGTTGATTCATGGAAAGCATTGGTATGCTTCTTCACTTATCAGTATTCTCTCTTTCTGTTTCCCCCAATTTAAGAAGAAAGAGTGAGTCAAGTCTTATAATAATTAAATTCTCTGTTATCCATTGTATTTTGTGTAGAAGCCATTGACTGTCTTTCTCTTCTTTCAAGGTTTGGTAATAAAGAAGAGTATATGGCCTTCATGAATGACTTCCTGGAACATGAGTGGGGGGGGATGAAACGCTTCCTGCTGGAGATATCCAACCCAGATACCATCTCAAACACGCCTGGGTTCGAAGGCTACATTGACTTGGGCAGGGAGCTGTCTGTTTTACACTCCCTCTTATGGGAGGTTGTGTCCCAACTTGATAAGGTAAAACAGGCTGGAGGACTGGGAGGGTGGATCTTGTGATAGTATCATAGCAACTTGAGTACTGGGAAACATCAAGGGAGCAGCTGAATCGTACTTTGTGGAAAACTCTTTAAGTTAGATAACCCTTTAGAAAGGTATTTGACTGTAGCATTTCATATTTATTCTTCCAGTGATTGATTCCAAATTAGGGCTTTGTACCTGCAAGTCCTTGTGAGGCCTTGAACAAGATGTGCAAAGTGTTGTGCAAAAGAGCAAACACTTTATAGAGACTCAAGTAAGAGTGTATGTCAAGTATTGCACTCTGTGCAGAGTGCTAGGGAAGAGGAAGGTGGAAAATGAGAACCTCAGCAGAGCTTTTGTTATCTGATGAAGAGATTGGCTGCACATTCCCCACTTTGTCCTTCACTGTCCTGATCCAAAAGCTTAGTGAAGTCACTGGGAGTGTGTGTTTCTGACTTCAGTGGGCTTTGTATGTTAGATTTCCCCTGAATTCCCTCTCTGGCATGTATTTTTATCTCATGCTTATACATGCAGCATTCTGCTCCTGCTCTTTTCAGGTCCAAACAAATTCTCTAAAAGCTAGCACTGAAAACTCCCAGTTCTAAAATAAAATCCGGCTGTGTCCACTCTGCTACCTACACTATCGCCAGCAATAGTCACTATCCATTTTTAGCTAGCAAGCTGGCAGTTGCATCAGGCACAACATGCTCCAGCCTGCTCTTCCTTCACAATTTGGGATCTGTGGTGCCAATAAGATACAAACTTGTCAATAAAGAATGTTGACAGGACTCAGACACAGAATCAGAGATGCTGAGTGAGATGTTGCCTCTTCTTTTACAAATGACTATAACCACTTCCCTCACACTTTCAACATTTAGTGTGTTATAGTGCCTACAATCCCAGATACCATTTATAACCTACTATTCAGGTGTTTTTTATTGAAATTTGGGGAGGTAAGATGATCTGTGGAAAGCTAATAACTTGTTACTAGTAAGTCGTATAGAAATAACGATTTACTGAACGATTATTTTCCAGCTGGCATGGGTCAAAAATGTTTGCATTGGTGTGTTCCAGTAATTCTAAATGTCCTTGTGCAGGATGATAAATATATTAGTTTGATGATGAATTGTGGATTTGTCTGACAATTTCCCTCCTACATTCACGTATTCACAGCATCAGACACATTAAAACCATTCCTACAAAGACTGCTTTCCTTGGGTCACAGGAATGACCACTTATGCATAAATGACCAGATTCTCAGCCAGTGTAGCTCCAGTAAATCCACTGTAGCCATTTCAGTTTATTTCAGCTGAGGATCCGGCTTACAGACTTAAACACCTCTGGGGTTACCTGAAGTATAAGCCCCCATCCTTAGGGTACTGAATGACTTCTGGACACTGATGGGATCAGATATGAAAGTAGCTACTGAAAGCTGCTCTGAAAATGTAGATAAATGGAACATGGCTTGAGAGCAGAAGCAGAAGGCAAATATAACATAAAGGCAAAGTACTTTTTGCTGCTTTGTTCTTTCCTCAGTGCAGGTATCAGCATGTTCCAGCAGGCTCTGGGAAAGTGGTTTTGTGGTTCACTAAAATGGGAGTTACAGGTTTAAGTTACATCACTGCTACTTTGCTGTGGGCAATGATTACACAGGTTGAGAAAAGAGAATAAATTACCTGGAAAATGCTGAAGATTTTAATAAAAGAGGAAAACTTGGGATAACCAAGCAGTCGTAAAGAACTTCCCAGAGTAGTCCATTGATTGAATGCCTGGTGGTAGAAAAAACAAAATACCTTTGACAGGAAAGTAGTCTTTGTACAGGGTTTTATTGTGTAATTAAACCTCCCTTGCCCACTCCTTACCTTCAATCCCAAGGACCTATAGCAATGTGTAGATCCCACTGTCAGCAGCTGTCCAAAGAGAGCAGAAAATGGGAATAGCAGCCTCCCCAGCAGCACTGGGGATTTGATAGAACTGTGCTCTGTGGTCGGCTGCTCTTGTACAAAGTCTTGTGTTCACCAGACTTAATGAAGCACTAGCCAGTGACGAATGGGAAAAGGTATTGGGGTGAAAGTCACTGGTGTTTTCATGCAATTAATTTTATTTTTTAAGTGGAGAAATCTACTTTAGTACCCATCTTTTGATAACAGCTTGGTACAGAAGGTGGCATCAGTACAGGATGCCAAAGGAGAAGGCTGATGAAATGGAAACCTCCTCTCCCACATCCCTCTCAGTTCTTTCCTGGACTCCCTGAATGCAGCACTCCCTTGTCTGTTGGCATGCATTTCTTCTACCATATGACCCCTTTTGCCTGGAAAGTTCCCTCCCAGTAGTTGACTCTATAGTCTCTGATTCCTTTTAATTAGTAGTAACTGTAGTTCCTACCTTGACCCCCACTCACTGGATGTAGTTTGCTTTGCATGACAGTTTTGTGTTGGAATGGCAGTAGTTTGGTTTTATTGAGCATGAATTTTATTTTTGGGGGTCAATCCTAATTTCTTTTCTATTTCCTTTTCTTTCCTCAATGTCTGCTGCACCTTGTTTCGTCTCCTCCATTCATCTCGTCGCCGTGGTTACGCTGCTCCGTAACAATGCATTATGGTCCTGCCACACCCACACACAACACACCCACCCTTCTTCCTTCCAACCTCCACCCCTCCGCCTCTGTGCATCGTTATCAAAAAATGGCGGACGTTGCGGTGATTATTATCCAATTAGGGTGAAAATTCCTTCCTACAGGCGACCGTGGCAAAACTGGGACCTCTTCCTCGTATTCTTGCTGACATCACCAAGTCAATGACCAATCCAACACCGATACAGCAGCAACTGAGACGTTTTACTGAGCACAGCTCTAGTCCAAACGTTAGTGGAAGTCTCTCCTCAGGGCTTCAGAAGATATTTGAGGACCCCACTGATGGGTATGTAACAGCCAGGATTAAAAAAGAATGATGAAGGAAAAAGGGGTGTGGGATGTGGGAGGTTGCTAGCTTCTCTTAAGGTGACTCCTGTAAAGTAGTGGTTGGTCACCCAAAATTTCTAGGTAGGTAAGTGCGAGTACTCAGGACAAGTATCTGTAGTTGGAAGGACAGCATCATACTGAGAGATGCAAGTAGTTGTTATTAAGAGCTGGTAAGCATAAGCCAGGACACCAGGACTTTCCTGAAGTCAGTTATTTGGGCGCCTGAAAAACAAATCTTATACCAGCTTCCCATCTGGACCTATAAGCATCACTCTAATATTTCATTCTAGAGATTGGCTTGCCTTTTCAGTGGTAATGAGACTTCTGTGTTTCAGGAAGAATGAATATTAGAATAACCAAGTTAAAACCCTTCTTTGTTTAGTGGGGCATCTCTTACTTTCTTACTAAGGGTTACAATCTGAGACCTCCAGCAAGAAGTCTTGAGGTGGCAGAAATGCACGAGGACTTGCTATCTAATGGTTTATGCCTATGCTTTGTGCTACCAAGTGTGAAGTACAGTTTTGATACTTGGAAATGTCTCTTACATTCTGGGCCAACAGCTTTTTAACAAATTCTGCAGTCTTAACTTCTCAGGTGAACAAAACGCATGCAACAAAGTCCTGGAAGAGTGGTAAAGGGTTAAGTGACAACTGGAATGCTGTTTCAGCTGGAAAATAACAGTATCTGGGGGTGCACAAATCCATGGGAAACAGGTTGTATTTTACTTGTGAGAAAGTAAAAATTAGGCACTACATACTTTAAGCTCCCTTCTGAAAATAAAAAAACACAAAACTCATGCTTATTAGAGAAGTAGGTATTCTGAGGAATATGAAAAGCTTCATAAGAGGAAATAATCTAGTTCTTTCAGACTTTGGGAAAGGAAGGAAGGCTAGATGAGATAGAAAGGCATCTCTAGGACAGATCTTCTGGGATCTTGGCCAGTTAAAAATTAACCAAATTCCTTTCCACTTCACAGTGACTCGCATAAACTGAAATCTCCAACCCAGGAAAATCTAGATGGATTCTTTAGGGGCAAAACCTTGCTGTTGGTTCAGCAAGCATCCACCCAGAGCATGACTTATTCAGACAAGGACGAAAGAGAGAGCATACTGCCCAATGGACGTAGCATCTCCCTGATGGACCTTCAGGACCCCCACACAACTCACAGTGATTCCCCGTCCATCATGCATGATGTGCCTTTGCGTTTGGCTGGTAGCCAGCTCTCCATAACGCAGGTGGCCAATATCAAACAGCTGCGGGAAACTCAGAGCACACCTCAGAGTGCCCCCCAAGTTAGGAGACCTCTGCACCCAGCCTTGAATCAGCAGGGTAGTCTCCAACCCTTGTCCTTCCAGAACCCAGTTTACCATCTTAACAACCCACCTCCACCAATGCCAAAGGCCTCTGTGGACTCCAGCTTGGAGAACTTAAGCACTGCCAGCTCCCGGAGCCAAAGCAACAGTGAAGACTTCAAACTCAGTGGACCCAGCAACAGCAGTATGGAGGACTTCACCAAACGCAGCACACAAAGTGACGACTTTTCCAGGCGGCACACAATGCCAGACAAACCTGTTCCTATTGCTCTTCCCCGCCAGAACAGCACGGGGCAGGCACAGATACGCAAAATGGACCAAGCTGGGCTGGGTGCCAGGGCCAAAGCACCTCAGTCCCTGCCCCATAGTGCTTCCTTACGGAGCACAGGGAGCATATCGGCAGCATCGGGTGCAATGGCGACCGAACCAGTTCAGAATGGGACCCAGTCCCGACAGCAGTCCTCATCATCCAGAGAGAGCCCTGTCCCTAAGGTGAGGGCAATTCAGCGGCAGCAGACACAGCAGGTAGGAACAAAAGCCTCTACTGGGTATTTTGTAAGTAAACAACTGAATTCACAACTTTCCATTTTATTTAAATGTGAAACAAGAGATGTGAATTTATATAGGTATTATAAGAGAAGTAAAACATAAGGAAACCAGGCAAAAGTATAGTTTGCCTTGTTGGTATGGCTAGATTGACCAACTAATCCAAATGTAAGCTTAAAATTTTTTTCTGTGGACTAGCACAATAGAAAATGTAGAAGGCAGAGCAGAGTAGCACCTTTTAAACTAACGTGTTCAGAGACGCATCAACTTTCGTGGGCTGTAACCTACTTTGTCAGATGCTAACTAATAAAAATGGTGGAAAGCTTGTTTAAAGAAACAAAACGTGAAGAATTCCAAAAATAAGAAGCCTTGTCCCAAAAGCCAAGATTGCTAACTGACTGTATTTGTTTAATGTGCTGTATTAAACAAAATGCTTAGAATGAGAGAAATTACTAGAGAAGAATATCCTAGAATCTGCAACGGCCCAAATGCTAAATAAATATAGCATTCTTGTCAAATATAAAATATACATAGTTTTCATCACAGACAAAAACCTTCAGTCTGCTCCCCATCAGGGTTGCCAACTCTCAGTAAATTTACTGACAGTCAGTTAAAAAATCAGGCTAAAAATGGCTGTTAGTAAAATCAGGGAAAAAAACTTTAGGCATCAGTAAAAACAGTATGCAGCTGCAGCTTTATTGAAGCTCTCACAAACAGAGCACAGTAGTAGCACCTGGAGTGCAGCACCCTGCAGGGAGCGTTCTCTCAGATTTGTGCTGCTGCTGTGACCCAGGCTACCTATAATACTTCTGAGTTGCAGGTAGGCTTTTGGGAGCTCTGTGCTGAGACAGAGAGGTAGGGGAACCACCGAGGTAAAGACTGGAAGTAGACTACTGGAGGGCATCAAGGTGTAGGGTGCGGTCAGGGGCATTAGTGTGGGGGGGTCCCATGAGTAGGGGGGTCCTGGTGGTGTGGGGGCAGCATAGTGTAAAACCATAGCTGTAAGTTTGGTTGTAAGTAAAAAGCTTGTCAGTGAAAAAAATGTTCCTGGATTGGCAACCCTGCTGCCACAGAGGTGTTATGACTTGTGTTGTATCAGAGTTGACAGTGTAGTTTTGCTAAGAGGTTAGACCAGGGGTCAGCAACCCCTGGCGCGCACACCAGAGCATGGCATGCAAGGCATTGTGCTTGGCAGGCAGGTGGCATGGAGCTGGAGGAGCTGGGCATCCCCAAGGAGTATGGTGTGTTCAGCTGTATTGCCTCAGCCACGTGGGCCACAGAGCTGGATGTGCCATATGTCACTGCACTGGGGTTGGTGGGGCTGCAGCACACGTGATTAAGACAGAGTGGGAGCAGTGCAGCATGGGATCCCCCGCACACACCTGGGTCAGTGAAGTGGCATTACAGAGAATCAGGCTGCAGGGAACAAGGGTGGGGTGGGTGGAAGCTCCAGGTTAGTTGAGGTTTGTTGTGCTTCCCCCAGCCTCTTCCCTGCCATGCCCCCCGCCACAGTGGCATGCACCCCGCTGCTATGGCAAGGATTGGACCCCTTATGGCTCCTTGCTGTCTTCCAGCTCCTCAGCCAACATCTTTAAAGTCCAGGTTGTGGGGTTTTTGACATTTGGCACAAAATAGAATCATAGAAAGTTAGAGTTGAAGGGACCTCAGGAGGTCACCTAGTTCAACCCCCTGCTCAAATAAACCATCCCAGCCAAAAGCTTTGTCTAGCTGGGTTTTGAAAACCCTCAAGGATGGAGCTTTTCCACCACCAGCTTTTCCACCACCTCTCTGGGTAACCTGTTCCAGTGTTTTATTACCCTCCTAATGAGAAAATTCTTCCCAATATCTAACCTAAACTTCCCTTGCTTGAGACCATTGCTCCTTGTTCTCTCATCTGCCATCACTGAGAATAGCCTAGCTCCATCCTCTTGCAAACCTCCTTTCAGGTATTTGAAGACTACTATTAAGTCTCCTCTCAGTCTCCACTTCTCTAAACTAAATAAGCCCAATTCCCCACATCTTTCCTCATAAATCATGTCACCCAGCCCCCTCACCATTTGTGTTGCCCTGCACTAGACTCTCTCCAATTTGTCCACATCCTTTTTGTAGTGGGGGACCCAAAACTGAACACAGTATTCCAGATGTGGCCTCACCAGTGCTGAATAGAGGGGAATAATTACTTCCCTTGATCTACTGGCAACACACCTTCCAATGCAGTCCAGTATGCTGTTAGCCTTCTTGGTAACAAGGGCACACTGCTGGCTTATATTCAGTTTATTGTCCACTGTAACCCCCAGGTCCTTTTCTGCAGAGCTGCTGCCCAGCCAATTAGCCCCCAGCCTGTACTGGTGCATGGGATTCTTCCATCCTAAGTGCAGGACTGTGCACTTGTCCTTGTTGAACCTCATGAGATTTCTTTTTGCCCAATCCTCCAATTTGTCTAAGCTACTCTGAATCCTAACCCTACCCTCCAGCATTTCTACTATTTCCCCCTGGCCCGCCTTCCCCCCCACCCCCAGCTTGGTGTCATCTGCAGACTTGCTGAGGACGCATTCTATGCCATCTTCCAGGTCATTGGTGAAGACATTGAACAAAACTGGCCACAGGACCGACCCCTGAGGCACTCCACTTGATACTGGATGCCAACTAGACATCAAACCATTGATTACTACTCTCTGAGACTGATGCTCCAGCCAGTTTTCTATCCACCTTACAGACCATGCACTGAGCCCATACTTCCATAGCTTGCCTGTGAGAATGTTGTGGGAGACCGTATCAAAAGCCTTGCTAAAATCAAGGTACACCACATCCACTGGTCTCCCCGCATCCATAGAGCCAGTCACTTCATCATAGAAGGCAATCAGGTTGGTCAGGCATGACTTGCCTTTGGTGAATCCATGCTGACTCTTCCTAATCACCCTTGTCTTCTCCAAGTGCTTAAAAAAAAAGGATTCCTTAAGGATCTGCTCCATGATTTTTCCAGGGACTGAGGTGAGGCTGACTGGTCTGTAGTTCCCTGGATCCTCCTTTTTCCCTTTCTTAAATATGGGTACTATGTTTGTCCCTTTCCAGTCATTCGGGACCTCTCCTGATCACCATGAGTTTTCAAAGATGATGGCCAATGGCTCTGCAATCAAATCAGCCAACTCCCTCAGGTGCATCCAACCAGCACCCTCAGGTGCATCCCATCTGGCCCCATGGACTTTTACACATCCAGCTTTTCTAAGTAGTCCCTAACCTGTTCTTTCACCACTGAGGGCTGCTCACCTCCCCAAGCTGTGCTGCCTGGTGCAGCAGTCTGGGAGCTGCCCTTGCTTGTGAAGACGGAGGCAAAAAAGGCATTGAGCACTTCAGCCTTTTCTGCATCCTCTATCACAAAATGGTACCTACCAACCCCTGGGTTAGACAGTGGATTTGTGTAGGATGATTTGGATAGGGATGAGCCTGCCTCAGGCAGGGGTTTGAACTAGATGACCTATGCAAATTCCTTCCAGCTCTGCCTTGGCATGATTCTATGATTCCTGCATCAGCTATATTAAAATAGGAAGGGTTATGCAAACACTTTCTGAAGAGATGTACGTTATAGGTACCAAGTTTGGATTTGCAGTATGTTGAAACCCAACAGCTGCAACTGCGTAGGGAAGCAGAAAGGAAGACATTGGAATTCATTGAGCACAGCCAGAGCTGACCCTAGTGGGGTGCGGGCCCCCTTAACACTGCACAGGGCCTTGGGACCCTCACAAAGGGGGCAGTCTCTGTGCTGCTTCTATGGCGTGGGACTGAACTGCCAGCTCCAGGCGGGCCCCGCAGGAGGGGCTGTGGCCCCTCTGCCCGGCTCTGAGGGCCCCCCCCCCGAGCGCGGGGCCTGGGGTGGTCGCTCTGATTCGCCGTACCCTAGGGACGGCTCTGAGCACAGCTATAATATGCTCATGCTAACCCCCTTTCAGTCAGCAGACCAGGTTCCTGCACTCCGTGTGGTTGTCTAGGCTTGGGCCCACATCCAAAGTGCTCCAGTGCTTTGTCTTGAAGGTCACAAAGGCACAAGTTGGCGATTTGTGGGAAGAGAAAGTACTACTTCTTAGGCTTGCCTTAGACTTCAGTTTTGTTAACGGGGAGTTAGAAGCATTGAAAAATAACACATGCACACCAGCTGTATTAGCAGAAGTCCTGGTATGGCTGCTGTTATGCAGGCAAAAAGTATTTTTGCTGGTAAAGCTTTATCAGTAAAGCTGCATCTGCACTAAGTGGATTTGCTGGTGTAGCTCTACTGATATATCTGCACAGCAGAGGCCTTCACAGTCTGCAGGAGGAAAAGCAGAGTAATACGCTTATAGTACATAGAAATCCAAAAGCCAGCAGGCCTCAGAAACTGCCTCTATGACATCTCACATTCAGTACAATAGACCTCTAGTGTGCCACCTGTTTGTGCATACTGAGATCTGAAGTACAGAATCACAAGATTATTAGGCCTTATTATTTGTATGTTAGGAATTTAATCAACATATTTGAAGTTTTTTTTTATTGTATGCAAGTTCCCCATTTTGGGTGTTTGTCATATGCTTGGGTAGAGGTGGATTGCTAGGTACAGTATATTTTACCATAATTCCCTGTTGAAATGATCCGCTTTGTTCAAGCTTATTACTGGAAGTGGCTGGGAAAAGAAAAGAACACTTGCTTGAGAGCAGCAGAGTTAAAGGGAGCGTGGGGGGCGAAGGGAAAAGGAAGGGGGAGATTTTTAACGAACTTTTTTAAAAAGAACTCTCCGCTACTCTCTCCAACGTGCACAAAGGGCATGCATGCTTACCACAGGGGATTTATGTGAAATGACAGATTGTCTATGAACTCTCTGGCTAATATTTATTAACCTGTTGCATCTTGAGTGAGTGCTTTTTTTTTTTTTTTCTATTCCCATCAAGAAAGCCGGGTAGCTTTGGTTGTTTTGACATGACACTGTTCAAGTGAAAAGTCTCAGACTTCCTTCCATTAGTTTCAGCACATAGATGCCTACAGCTATGATTGTTTTCAACAGATAGTCCTTTCCCCTTGCAGTTGTAAGCGCTAAAAGTTGGATTATATCTGCTTGGATTTCTGCTTTCCCTTTCTACACTTCTGTTTTTGCCACAAGACATTAGGGGTTTTGCTCCCCCTTCATTTGTACATATCAATTTGCTCTTGTTTTTCTCACACTCTTAAGAAACTTTTTGAGCTGTCCTGAGTTCAGTGGCCAAATTCCATTGCATACTTTTAATTGCAAATTTTACTGTGGAATTCTTTTCTTGGTAAAAAGTTGGGTGAATTCTTTCGGAGTGGTTTTGTGGGCGTTTATAATTATCAGCCTCTTTGTTCTTTTCAAGTTCCATTTGCTTGCAAGCATCAAGCAGGGCCTTTTGTTCAGCTGGGAGAGGTCAACTTCTGCCTTTTGCTTCCATTTTGTGAGAAGGTGGGGAATAGAGTTTTCAGTGGAATTTTTGTTGTTGAATAAATTTTCCTCTCTGGCATTTTTTTCCCTACAGTGTTGTTGCTTGGTACCATCAGTACCATTGGTTTGTATCTTCCTCTTTAACCCTGCCCTTGTTGGCTATCTATTTGGTCTTCAAGCTTACTGCATTTGGATTTTGAAAATATTCTAATCCTGCAATGTAAAGATTAGCGAGAAGGATAAGCTGGTGACCAGCCATCAGCAAGGATGCTGGTAGTGCAGTTTGTTCACCCTGTGCTATCTTATCCTTCAAGGACGACAAAAAATAGTGGATCTGGTTTGTCAAGGATCAAAATCATTAAGCCCTCCAGCAGTTCCCCATGGCTGCAGTATCATTTACCTCTGAGAGGAGCTAGCTGATGGCAGAGCTGCCCACAGTTTGTGTTCTTTCCTTCTGTCTCACAGCAAATGCTGTCAAGTGAAGTCTGTCTGCAGGAGCCTCCTTGTCAAGTTGGGTCACTTCTAATAGCTATATCAGTCATGCTGCCATCAAGAGGGTTATTAGCCTTTCCACCACACATTTCTCTTTTCAGGCAGAAGGCCTTCATCTCTGTCTAAGCTATAAAATTCTTCCTAATCCCTCCCAAGTTTTCTTGTCTCTGCTTCTATCACTGCCAAGGCTTCTTGTTGCAAGACTCATCACTTCAGTTGAAAATAACTGAACTGCTCACAGACCCAAGGCATTCTTTCTGGCAAGAGCTGGGCCTAGCGTGTCTGCAGTGACCCCAAGGACCTTCCACCATGAACAGGAGTAGCTGATGCTGGAAATCGTTATCAGGATACCTGTCAGTAGGTTGGGCAAACTCTTATTTAAGAGATTATATTTCCCCAGTAATGCATGCCTTCATGACAGCTAGTCATCAGGATCCCAGTCCAGCCACACATCAACTTCTTAAAAGACTAAAATAAGACAGTGACCTGGAATTCAGTGAACTAAAGCTTAGCAAGGTTAAGCTAGTAAAGTGCCTTTAGGCATTTTGGAAGGAGGAATACAAATGAGAGGTGGTTGATTTGTGTAGATTCATAAATTAGCAGATTTAAACTTGTTGCTGTCTGCTGGAGAATGTTCCACTCTCTGCAAAGACATATTTTTAGTTCATCACTATTTTGCTGAGAAATTAAAATAACTCCTCCAACATGGCCTGTGGTCATTGCTTTTATCAGCCCTGGACAGCTACCATATTCAGTTTGCTGCTGCCATCCAGGCATGATAAATAACGAAATCTGTTCTCCGATCTCTGACTATCAATCTGGAAAAGAGTGTTCTGGCGTGTTGTACTCCTAGAAGCAGCTTGGCTGAGTTGTTGTGACAGCCAGACACATCCACATGCAAGAGGCCCAGGCACTTGCCATCAATCCCAGTGTTTTCTTCTGCTTCAAAGAACCAGCTTGCTGAATAATTTCTTCCCTCTCCTGTGGCAGACCTAATCATCCAAGACCTCAAAATGTTACACCCACTGCCATCCTCCTCTCCCCATGGCTGGCTTGTGTACTTACACAAGACGCATGAAAAACAAGTCATAAAAACTGCTGTGCTAAAACCATCAGCATCCCTTTGCCTGTCACAGCAGGGAAGTTCAACTCTCAGTGCACCTCTTAGTGCATGGTTGGCCACCATGAGAAAGAGAAGTGTGTCAGATTCTTCACAGCTTTTGTGGAGCCATGTATCTAGCTATGGTTTCTAGAGGTGCTTTGATCAGCCTTTAGCTCCAGTGGGAAATGAACTCCAGTAGTTTCCATGTCCCACTTCAGAATGGCTGCTAGTCCCCTTCTTTTGTTTTTCTGCAATAGTAACAGTGGGAAGTGATGTAGGTCATGTAGTTAGACTTTGATTCAGAGACCACTTCACTCCTTGACTGAGGCCTCCTTACATTTTGGCAGTACCTCAGATGAGCTTGGAGCTGCTTTTGTGTCCAGTCCTGGGCCCTTTAACATAGAAGAGTTTGAATGCTAAAATTTCTAAATGGAAATGCCTCCGGACAGCCAGAGGAGTCATTGCTTGGGACCAATGGATTCTTTGGTACAAGAAAGTGAACTTAGAGAAAAATGTTTGCCACATTTCCCATTAGCATGCAGATATGCTGCTGCCCAAGCAAGGCATCAAAGTGCCGAGTTAATTCAAAAACTGCCTTCAGCCGCCTGAACCAGATAAGGACAGCTGCTAGAAGGGAAAGGAACTTCATTTTTTTTCAAGTTTCTCAAAGGAGATTAAAATAGGATCACTCTTCCAAGTGCAGTATTTCACGGGGCTTAGAAATGTTACTTTCTCTGCTTACACACTTCTCTCTTTCAGTGAAAATTTGTCTAGACTTTTTAGGAAGCCGCATCAGTTAACTAAATCCTGTGAGAGTTGGGGGTTCTCCTGCTATCACCTATTAAACACCCTTAATAGGTCCAGTCCTGAATCCAGTTTGTTTTAAGGTACTCTCAGCAAGTATTTCTTTCCCTGACTACATCTGGACCTTTGAATTACAGGAAATGCCAAAATAAAGCATTTAGATACTATTTCTAAATAGTTAAAAATGTGTTTTGCTACAAAAAGATGTCATGATGACTTCTGTACCTCACTGCCACCCCCAAATCTTGGGAGCAGCTGCACTGTCTCAGGTGAGGTCTGCATGCCACAAAACCCCACCTGCAAGCTTTCTCCGGCTTACGGTGGAAAGGTCTGAAAAGGTAGAATTTTTAAAAATAAATAAATAATGCCCAGTGAAGTAGTATCAAGTGTCTCACCTGAAAGGTGTCATAAATCTGCTTTTCCCAGTGGATCGTTTCCATAAGTGCTGCATGAGGGAGATGCAGTTGACGAGAGGATGGGTAGTGGCCAGGATCCATTCAGAAACAGGCCTTTTCCATTGAGATGAAAGACACAGACATCTCCCAAATGCACTGTTTTTAGATGGACTTGAACGTGCTGTGTGTCCAGAGCCAGGGGAGGGCAAAGTATGTCTGGAAAAAAGAGGTGTTGAGGTGGTTTTGAGACTGATGAGCATAGTGGCCTTTTCCCTCTGATTTTCTTCTCTAGGTAAATTGGATCACAGAGCCAATCCATGTAACGTCTTTGAAAAATGTTTCTCTGCTCCAGGTTCAGTCACCAGTAGACTCAGCCACAATGTCACCAGTGGAAAGAACAGCTGCCTGGGTCCTGAATAATGGGCAGTATGAAGAAGTAGAGGAGGATACAGAACAAAATCAAGATGAAGCCAAGCATGCTGAGAAGGTAGATTTTAGTCTGCATGCATCTGCTTGATTGATTTCCTCAGACCTTGAGCTTCCACTGAGCTCCTGCCCCATAGTAGCATGTTGAACTGTACTAACTGTTATCAGGTATCACTGTGCCAAAATAAGGCTTTCAGATAGAGTTGTTTCCCTCTCCAGCGTTATCCCCCTCATTCCACTCCACAGGTAAGCCATTGCACCGTTTCTGACTTTGGGCCTACCAGGCTTCAAAACTAAATCAAGATGGATGCAAAATGCATTGGAAACCTTGTGACACACACCTGCAAATTAATGCCATATAGACTGATGCTTGCTGTTTGCTTCCATCATAAAATTAGTGCCACTTCAATGTTTTACATGATGTTTGCCTTTTGGTATTTTAAAGTAACACTATTGTTAGGGTATTCTAACATCTTCCTGTGTTTTGCTGTTTGCTTACATTCTCGATGATCATGAAGAGGAGCTCTGATTATTAGCCAGAGCATTGTGTAGTTCTGGTGCCCGCTGTGTCCTTTCACAGACATATGCAAATGTGAGCTCCTTGATCAGCAGCAGCCTTTCTGCTCTGTCTGCCTTCGGTTTCACTTGATCCAGTGCCACTTGTTTAAATTATGCTTTAACCTCTATATATTATGAGAGCTGTATTTTTTTTTTTTAAATATGACTAGAGAAATATTTTTTCCACTGAGAAAAGAGGCTCTTGTATTTTTTTGTCAAGTCTGTTCACAGCAGTGGTAGATGTTGCTCTCCAAATGCAAACTTACAGCTGCTACAATATGGACCCAATATAAAATGTAGAGTTTTAGGAATTATGACAGGCCTGTAAAGGCAGAGTGAAATATATAGAGGGCTAATTTCACTGCCATAGGGCAAATTATTAAAAAAAAAAAAATAGGTGGGGGAATAGAACTTGGGCCCTCAAGGGTTCTGTTTTGTATAGTAGGTTGCTGTGCTGTGCATTCACCTTAGTTATGTGACTTCAAGTCCTGATTAGGTCACAAGAGAGAAATGAGTTGCTTGTATCCCAGAATGATCTAGAGTTCGTGTGTGTTCACATCAGAAGATTTCTTACAGAAAGGTACAGATAGCTGCAGATTTTTGGGAGACTGTTGGGACTTGAATAGTTAGAAGTTAAGGGACTCAGAACTGAAATGCACTTGCAGAGTGGTTTGGGTACCCAGGAGTGGAACTGCAGTAATAATGCAGGGCAGTATGAAGATACTTGACTGTATAGGATCTGTCCACAACAGACCGATCAGTTACAATCCTTCCTGCTACTTCCTTCATTTTGGTGTTATTCAAGGAAAACAATGCATACTTGGCAAAAAAATATCTGACACTCCCTTTCCTTTGTTCCTATATCTTTTCCTTCCATGCAGTATGAGCAAGAGATAGCAAAGTTGAAGGAGCGTCTGAAGGTGTCAAGCCGTCGATTGGAGGAGTATGAGAGGCGCCTTCTGGTGCAGGAGCAGCAAATGCAGAAGCTACTGATGGAATACAAGGTGAGGCTGGAGGACAGTGAGGAGCGACTTCGCAGGCAACAGGAAGAGAAGGACAGCCAGATGAAGAGCATCATCAGCAGGTGAGAGGACAGGGCTCTTTTAAGAGATTTGTGTGCAAAACATGGCATCCCAACAGAGATGACAATAGGGACCCATAATTTTGCATGCAAGCAGCTTCTTTCCTCATGTATGCCCCATAACACCTCTGTGAGATTGTATCATCCCTGTCCCAGATGGAAAAACTGAGAGACAAACTAGTTCTTGATTGCATGGAAAGATGAGGGAAGGACCCAGCAGTACTGATTCAAATGTTTGCTGTACTCATTAGCTAATCCACACTATCTTGGAAAAGAAGTAGGAGGGCCTCCTTCTCAAGTGCAAACTCCTAACACTGGAATTAGCAGACCTCTCCTTGTTCAAAGCTGTTGGACTTTGCTTCTGTCTCATGGCAACAGTTGAATTTAACCAACTGATATTGACAGAAGAGAAAATAGGCTTTCCTTGGTGCTGCAGAGTTTTCCCATTACAAAGGTAGTAGTAATGGGAAGCCACCTTGTCGTAAGTGCTCTAAAACTATACTAAGATTTTTTTCTGATTCCTTCCTCCTTCCCATATCCTAGACTCATGGCAGTCGAAGAAGAACTGAAGAAGGATCATGCTGAGATGCAAGCAGTCATAGATGCAAAGCAGAAAATTATTGATGCGCAGGTAAGTACTTCTGGGTCTCCAAGAATGAAGCGTTTTCTCCGGAAACTACTATTCCCTATCCTTTCAGCCAGTCCAGCCCCCATGACAGAAATTAGATACTTCTCCACCTTACAGACTCATTCTGAAACCAACATCAACACATTCTTCTTGCCTATCTCATGGAGAGAATTCTGCTATTATCTAACAGATTTCAAAGCATTTAGCACTACTTTTTAAAACCTTCAAACCCACTGTATTACTGGGTTAATCAGGTCTTTTCAGATCATGCCTTACAGTAGGCAGACAAGGTTCTTTGGGTAAATCTGATATCTTTTATTAGACCAACTCAAATAGTTAGAAAAATTCTTCTTAGCAAGCTTTCGGGCACATACACCCTTCATCTGGCTGAAGAAGCACCTGCAGATGGTCTGTGCTCTTCCTGGATGGAGTGATAAGGCAGCCAGAGGCCAGTATGTATGCAAGAAAGCCAGTCAGTGAAAATGTAAATTGAGGTGGTCAGTAGGTAAGACAGATAAGTGGGGGGCGGGGGGGTGGGAATGAACGTAGCTGTAGTCAGTGGATGGGAGACAGGAGGGTTGGGGGGAAAGGAATGAGACTAGCTGGTAAAAAATGGAGGGTTTGCCTGGGGAGTCGGATGTTAGGCAGGTTATAATGTGTCATAAATCCAAAGTCTATATTTAGTCCCCTTTCATTCCCCCTCCCCTCGCACACACACCTGTCTCTCACCTACTGACCACCTCGGCTTACATTTTGACTGGCTTTCTTGCATATGTAGTGGCCTCTGACTGCTTTACCACTCCATCCAGGAAGAGCACAGACCATATGCAGATGCTTCCTCAGCCTGATGAAGGGTGTTTGTGCCCAAAAGTTTGCTAAGAAAAATTTTTCCAACTATTTGAGTTGGTCTAATAAAAGATATCAGATTTACCTAAAGAACCTTATTTGCTTATGTCCTTAGACCAACACGGTTACAACTTATACTGCCTTACAGTAGGAGCATTTTACTGGTATAGAAATAGCAAAGCTGCACTTTGTACCAATATAGTAAAACCATCCCCACCTGCACCCCCAACAAAACAAGCTATACTGGTTCTGTCAGTTTTGTCAGTGGATCAGTAAGAAAGAAGCAATCAATCTATGAAGCTATGCAGCGAGCTCTTGCAGTAGAGCACTGCCCGGTATGCTTCTAGTGCTTGGCATTTGACTTCAACTGACTGTGTCTGTAGTCAGTCCTAGAAAAATGCCTGCTGCGCCACAAAACGCAAGCGCTTGCCTTGGCTGATACGGGTTAGCTGTGGAACAAGTGGGTGATGCATGTAGATGTGTATAATGCAGTTCTGCTTCTCTGGTCTTTGGACGTACTGCTTGGAATTGGTTTGGCTTCCCTTCTTTATCTGTGCTCATTCAGGAGAAATGAAGCTTACACAATAAAATATACAATTGGTTTGATCTCTGCCTGCTGCATCGTGTTTGTGAGACTGTAATACTCCCCTTGCACTCAGAGCGTAGAAATCTTTCCTGCATCTCTGCTTTTTAATAGTTAATGTCACTTCCTGTTTATATTTTTTAAAGATGATACACATAACAGCAGTCTCCCAGGCAGTTTGAGTCCTTTCATTTCACACAAGCTTGGAAGTGCCAGAGGTCTTAGCTGCAGTAGGGATTTATCTACAGGTTTACAAAAGATAATGCATTAAATTGAGCCAGCTATGCCATGTTACAGGTGTGAGTGAGGGCATGGGTTAGCCATTTGTTGCCTTTCTGTATAGGCAACCATAACAAGACCTTTGAATTGTATGGCATGTTCTTCAGGAGTTCGTGTTTTGAGATTTGGAAAAGTTTTAGACTTTGAGAAGAAACATTTATATTTGCTGTCCTTTTGCACATTTTCTTATAGCTACTCTTTCAGTGATGGAGGCCTTACCAGCTGGAAAGTTTGGATCCAAGCCATCTATTCTGAACAAATCACTTGAGTAAAATATCTTAGTCCTTGCATTGTTTTACAGTTTCAAATATTTAGTCCTGTAAGATAAGAAGAACATCCTGCTGGAATTGCACTGCGCATAGTCCCATTTTAAAAGGATATGTCAGAATAGTGTAAGTCACCCTCTTGTGATGCAGCTCAAGTTGAAATCCTTTCTGTGTGAACTGATGCTAGAGAGAGGTGAGTTTGGAAAATATAGGAGGCTCATCCTTCACCCAGATGGAGAATTTTTACTGTCAGTTTAAGGTGGGGGTAGGAGGTGAATGAAATAGGCTGTGTTTTATACTTGAGTGTAGGCTCAGGATCTCACTCTTCCAAACTGATAGAGCTGAATCATGTCCAGAAGGCAGACTGTTAGATTTCAGAGGAAATATGATGTATTTTCTGAGTATCCCCTGCCAACTGTCTCTCAGTCATTCTTCTTAGAAGAGGCCATTTACTGGCTCTTATTTACTCAGCAGAAGGTTGCAATGATAAATGACCTGCAAAGTGGTGTGAACAGCCTTTATAGATGGTCTTTGAAAATAACAGAGAATCCCTTATGGACTGGGAACTTGCTTTGAGAATTTGGCTAAACATGATGTAGGAATGTGTGCTGGGCACAGAGGGTTGGGACACTGTAATAAATCCATAGAAATTGATTTGGGGGCAGGCAGGGATTGACTTCAGATTCAGGATGATTGGTTATGCTTGTGCAGAGAGCTTCCCCTTCATGTCTCTACACACCTGTACCAGTAGCCTCTCTTCCTCTGTGGCATACTGTGAATGTTTCTGAAGCAATATGATGGAAACCAGAGAAGTCTGATTCCTTGGTGTTACCAGGTGGAGGAAAGGGGATTGTTGGTTAATGAAAACTTGTTGGTTAATGAAAACTTGATCCCTCGTTGCTGAAGGGATGTAATGCTCCCAACAGGATGAATATATGTTTTTTGAGATCATCCTCAGCCATGCTGCAAGACACCTTTCATAGTAGTAAAATGAAGAAAAACATGGTTTCCCTTTAGATCCAATTGTTCTCTCTACCCAGAGCCCTCAACTCCCATGTGTGGAAAGCTGGCCTTAATTCTGCTACTTTGCCTCCTGCTCACTAAGTCCTCAAGAGTTGGGGAATGCTAAAGAAACAGCTCAAATCAGGTTTGGAAGAGTGAGTTCAAGCTCACAGAATCCTTACTGACTAATCAGTATCAGTAGCCATAATCCTTTCCATTTGTTGATGTGCTTTTGTGACCATTGTGGAAGGCCTTTTCTGGTCAATTGAGCAGAACGGGGACATGAGTGGGAGACTCAGGGCTCTGGTCACCAAAAACACAACTATCTGAGGATGCAGAGTTCCTTTGTAGAAAAAGGCCATCAAACTGATGGTTGGTTTTAAATTATGCATAGAAGGCAGATTATTCTCAGCACGTGATTTATTGGGAGGCCAGATATCTTTGTCTCTTGAGATCCATGGAAGATTAATTGATCCTGGCTTCTTGGGCTCATTTTGAGGGTGACAGTGAGTGCTAGGGAGTAGTGGTGACTTTGGCTTCTTGTTCTCAGTTACTTCACTACAGAATGCTTTGTAGGAATGACTTGCTTGTCCTGGGTTTTAGGATGTGGCATCCATTATTAAGCTGTGCACAGTGATAGCCTCGTTGTTAAACTGAGTATGCACTTTTCTCAAATTGTTCCTATGTAATGTTAGTGAGTTGTGAATCCAAAGCCTCTTATCCATGCTTCCCAGACTGAGAAAAGAGAGGTCTGGATGTTGGTAACTTTCCCTGAGAATGGCGGAGCTACGGAGTGTGCTAGCTTTATTCCTATTGCAAGTGACGTCTCCGCTGTGTTAAATTACAGGTCATAAATGGGGATGAGATAATTCAAACAGGCAAGTAAACCCAATCAGTTCTCTAGCTGAGCAGTACCCAGCCCTGGCCAAGTGCACTGACCTCCTACACATTCCAGCTCCTACCACTCCCCACACTGAATTCATATACATTAGACATATGTGTACCTGTTTGGATGGCATTTTCCTTTGAGCGAGGAGGACGCATCTCCTGACCAAGCTCAGGCCTTCAAGATAAATTTTTCAGTTGTAGCTGTTTAATTGCTCTATAACTTTAGGTATTGAACATGCTCAGTCAGTGCCAGGGAACACCCCAGCCTTCCATTTTTTACCTCTTTATATGCCCAAATTCTCTGATCAGAAACTTCTAATTCTACAAATAAGGTAGGAGAGTGTCAGTCAGAAGAGGACATAATGCCCCAAGAAATAGATCTCTGCTAAGGCCATGTGTTTTTCTTTTTCCATTTTGGCATGGGAGGAAAGGCCAAGAGTTAGTCACAGATCCTGCCCTCTCCATTTTAACCAGGAATATGGGTATGATAGAACCATATGGGTGGTTGTCCTGACCATGCACAGGGCTGTTAGACACACAACACTTAAACTCTGCTTTGCTTCGGGTTTCCCTGTCTTTATTTACCTGGGGAAACCCCCTAGGAAGAACCAACAGACTCCCTTTTTGCGTATGTACCATATAGCTGACATGCTGGGAACCAAACCACATGGGGCTGTGGTAGCACAGATGTCTCCTGAGCAATGTGTCTGAATTATCCCTTAATGTTTGTGCCTTGTGTACATCATTTTTCCTTCCCTTGGTTCTCAGTGGATTGGGGTGGGCTGGATAGAGCCCCTGCATTCAGCTTTAAAAAAAAAAAAAAAGAACCATAAAACCTAGGTCTTTCTTCTTTAAAAAAGAATAACCAACCAGCTGGCAGCACTGAGAGCATGCGTACCTGCTGCAGGGCCTGTTGTTGCTTTGTAGAAAGGCCAAGAGTTAGTCACAGATCCTGCCCTCTCCATTTTAACCAGGAATATGGGTATGATAGAACCATATGGGTGGTTGTCCTGACCATGCACAGGGCTGTTAGACACACAACACTTAAACTCTGCTTTGCTTCGGGTTTCCCTGTCTTTATTTACCTGGGGAAACCCCCTAGGAAGAACCAACAGACTCCCTTTTTGCGTATGTACCATATAGCTGACATGCTGGGAACCAAACCACATGGGGCTGTGGTAGCACAGATGTCTCCTGAGCAATGTGTCTGAATTATCCCTTAATGTTTGTGCCTTGTGTACATCATTTTTCCTTCCCTTGGTTCTCAGTGGATTGGGGTGGGCTGGATAGAGCCCCTGCATTCAGCTTTAAAAAAAAAAAAAAGAACCATAAAACCTAGGTCTTTCTTCTTTAAAAAAGAATAACCAACCAGCTGGCAGCACTGAGAGCATGCGTACCTGCTGCAGGGCCTGTTGTTGCTTTGTACGGCTGCATTCTTAAAAGGTAAAGGACAAAATTGCAAGCTGCTTGTACCTGAAGTCCCTTGGCTTGGATCCCCCTCAACCACAGCATCCCACTACAGACAGTGCATTTTAGGTGTATTTTTCTATTTATTTAGTGCATTCACTTATCCTTTAGTTTCTATTTTCTTCATAAAGTGGAGGCTAGCACTTTCTGGGCCAGAAGAATTAAAACCAGAATGACAGAACCTTTGATTTCTGTGGAGTCCTGGAGCAACTCTGAGCTGGAATGGGTCTAGGAGCAGTGTCTTTCAATGTTTGTTTCTTGTGTTTTTGTTGATGGCATCTCCCTCACTCACCCACGTTTCCCTCTTACCCCTCACCCCAAATAACCCTTTAGTTTTAGCTTTTGGCTGCTTCTTTCCTATGTTGCTGCTGCATCCCTGCCCCTGCTGGTGACTGCAGGCTGCCATTATTTGCCATTTTAATTTCAGCCATCCTGTGAGTTCATTCTGTGTACTCTCCATGCAGTCTTCAGATGAAGACAGTGGCCCTCAGGTGCCACCTGCACTTTCTGCTACAAAATGAAACTTCCCAGCACTTATTTTTCTTGTGCCTGTTTCTGTTTTCCAAAGTTACCAAAAAAAACCTCCCAAACAAACAAAGCCAAAAAGCTCTGCACCTTCATCTGTTTCAGGAGAGGGTGCTTTGGTGAAAATGCTGAAATGCAACCAAGTATAATACTAATAAGTGTAATGCAGAGAAACTAGAGAGACCAAACTGGGGAGCAATGCATCTGTGGTGAGCTGGGGAAACAGTAGTGCAAGAAAACAGAAAGAGGCAAAGACATCCTATTTTACTGGAGAATGTTGGTAATGTTGGCTCTGTCTAAAAAGCTTCTGAAGACTTGAGCGCAGCCTTAGGCTATGAAAGTTCCTGACAAAGAAAAGGTTAAAGAAGTGCTTTGCTAGGTAGAATGGCTCTGATTTGTGGTGTTTTTGTTACAGGAGAAACGGATTGTGTCCCTGGACTCAGCCAACACTCGGCTGATGAGTGCCCTGACGCAGGTCAAGGAGCGCTACAGCATGCAGTTCCGCAATGGCATCTCCCCCACCAACCCCACCAAGCTTTCCATCACGGAGAATGGTGAATTCAAAAACAGCAGCTGCTAACCGGGTGGATGCTTCTGGCCATCTCCTCGGGGCAGAGCAGGAAGAAGCAGACTGAAGAAACCTGAATGCAGACCCCCGTTGATTTACAGAATGCTGCTAAAAGAAAAACTGTCAAGTGGGGTAGAAAAGCCTACCTTTCAGACTAGGAGAATAGGGCTCCAAGGGCCAGGGCCCTCAGGATTGCTGTGTATATACGTAAGGAGCCTGTTCCAGGCCACGTGTACAGAGAACGTCGCTGTAATATACCAAAAGGAAGTGAATACTGTAGATTGTTTTTAATTATTGCAATTTTTATTATTATTTTCCTCTTGTTGAAAGCACTGCAGTCCTCAGAGGGGGAGGAGGGGAATGTGTGTGTGTGGTGTGGCAGAGAAAGAAAAAACGAGAGATGAGCAGTGGGTTATTTTGACGCTGTACATATCAGGCTGACTGATACAAGCACATGGAGTGAAGTGAAATACTAGTTAAATGAATGTATGAGATGTTCTGTTTTAACCCCCTCCTTCCTGGTCCTTATTTAACCAACTTCAAACTCCACACCCAGCCTCTTGCAAGAGGGTTGGATCCTGTTGGCTTCTGTCTGCTCTTGCTAGGATATGGACAAAAAGCTGTTTCAAAGTCTCTTTGAAAGCTCTAGTTAGAAACTGGAGCAAGAAGCCTGTTTCTTTACACCTACCCAAAGCCAGGCTTCCCGTCCAAGAGACAAAGGGAATTTGCAGTTTTAAAGGTAGGATTTTTTTTTTACCCAAATTATAGTAAGGTTTGACTTTTTTCCTTTTTTTTTTTTTTTAGAGTTTACGGAACTGTAAATACTTGCGTTTTCAAACTTTGGTCCAATTCCCAGCATATGTGCAGCCCATTGTCTCAGTACAGTAGCACTCTAGATCAGTTACCCACACTCTACTAGGAACAATCAGGTTAGTACTCCAGGGAAAGGGCTAACCAAAGGGCAGCCATGCCCTGTGCAATAGATCTGTGAACGCAGAGTGAAACTTTTCTAGTTTATTTTTGTACCTTTTTGTCTTGTTCAATTTCACTGTTCTATCCACAGGGTTATCAGACTTAGCTCCACCAAGATGGTTTCTGCATGTTTGCTAATATTTCCATGCCCCAATGGAAATTGACTGTTATTATTTAAGTCCTGACCTTATCCACTTTTTCTCACAAGTGAATTTTAACTGATTCTCAGTTTCCCCTGTAATGTTTGGTTTGTTTCTCACACGAGCAGACTTTTACAGGATGTACCTGAATACCTAAAATTAAATAATGAGCTCATTGTTGGGAGGAAGATAGTGACATTTCACACACTGTAAAAGACCAACAGTAAGATGCGCAGTGTTGCCAGTTCTCATGGTTTTACCAAATGTCTCTTTAATATTCGTTGAGTCTCATAAAGCCCCAGCTTCTGGAGTCAAGTGATGTATGAGAATCTCTCCCCTTCCACTTTATAAAAAAAAATGTTAAGTTGCTGGCTCTTGTTAGTGTTGAAAAGCATGAGAATGTGAACCTTAAAGGTTTAAATCAGGAAGCAAATAAAGAGAATCCAAAGCTAGTTCAAATTAGAAATAGAGGCAAATACTTTTTTAACAGGGACTATTAGAACAAACCCAAGGAATGATAGGCAGTGCCATGCATTGATGTCTTCAGGTCAACACTAAATGCCTTTCTGGAATATATGCATCAAATTTGCTTTCCTGATTTACAGATATGCTTTAATCAAATCAAAGGTAGTGGGGCTCAGTGCAGATGGTAACTGGGTGGTGGCCTGTTACAAAGAGGTCAGGCTAGATGATCTCAAATCATTTCTTCTTGCCTATAAACTCTGATGGCACATCCCT